CACACACACACACACACTGTTGATGTGAAGCGCTATTAAACTCTCAGTCTGATATAAAGTCCATAAAGGTGAAGCCCTCTCTTGCAGCCCTCTCTTGCCTAAACAAGATAAAATATGTCCTTTATATTATTAAAAGTGCAGTTTAAACACTATTTTATCAACTTAACGCGTAAACTCAAGCTTGTGTCTCCTCTCAGAGCAAATACTTGGTTTTATTTTCTTACCTTTTATTTTAAAAAGCAAACACAGATGATCGTTGTTGTCTTCAATGTCAGCACGCCAGTATGCGAAGTTAGCACGCAAGCTAACTAACGTTAACCTTCGCTTTCGTAAGGTACGGGAAGCCGGAGGGGACTTTTTCGCTGCCTTTGACAAAACTGCGAGCAAAGTTTTTCACAGCGCCACCTACTGACCCGGAGTACAAACACTAATGTCCTCACTGTGGTTCACTGTATTGTAGTGAGCTAAAGTTCATTTTAATTTTATTGTAATATAATATAATATAATATAATAATAAATATAACGTTATATAATAATACATATATATAATACATTTTAATGCTGTCAAGCGGCTAATGTTGCTAATTAAAAACCGTTAATCGCAGTTAAGAGTACACTAACGGTAGTTCCTTAATCTGGACCTAAATTAAACTAACGTTACTTAACGTTAACATACGTGAACTAACTACTGAGTATTTTCATTTGATTTCGCTTTTTAGCACTTTTACTCTACATTACATTTCATAAATATTGTACTTTCTTCTCCACTACGTTTATCTGAAAGCTTCCGTTACTTTAACACAAGATTTTTTTGCATAGAAAACATGTTTTATAAAATACGAGGCACCGTTAACAGATAAAAGTAAGTCCAAGAGTGGACACAGTACTTTAAAGGCTTCTTACATATTAATGTTTTAATAATAGTAATCATATGAATTACTTTTGACACTAAATACATGTAGCTGATAATATATTAAAGAAGTATGTTGGAGTTGTTTTACTTGTAATTGTATTTTAACTTAAATTGTTTTATTGAGGCTCTGCATTTGAAACCTGAACCGTTAAACCGCTAAACAACCGCCAACCATAACCGTTGAGCTTTAGCCGCATTGTGTCGTCACTACCTGGTTACCATGGTTACCGGTGTCTGTTTTTAACACTGGTGGCAGTTAGTGCCTGTGAAAAACCAAAAACATATAACGTTAAGTTATAAAAAATGTTTTAATGTTGTATCTCGCATAATGAGGACATTAAAATATCTCCCCCTCAATCTCCATTTAACAAACTGAATTAAAACATAAAATAATCCTCATTAACTAAACCTACAAACTATCGAAGAATATAACAGTCCCTAATGTGACTGCAGCCCTTGTTTTCCACCCGGACATGTTTTGGAGACGGACACAATACAATGGCAACATGTTCGATAAGTGGCGACGCTGCTGATGAAATAAACGATCCAGGAGCCGCTCCTTATGGCAACTTCATCAACTATTACACCTTCAACCCTCCGGAGAACCGCTTGAGTCTGATTCCCGCCACACTCCTGCAGGATTTAGGTTACAGCGACGGTCCGCAGACCACCCTGATCCTGGACGTGGGCTGTAACTCAGGGGTGGGTCTGTGCACACTCTCAACATCAGACTAATACTTGGCTTGTTCTCTATAGTGCTAGAAAACTTCTCATGTTCATCACACACTAACTTGAAGTCATACCTGTCTTTTAGACTTAAGATAGTTCCTTTATTCATTCCCCTAAGGAGAAATTCATTGAGACAGCAGCAAAAGAGCAAAGCAGCGCAAAAAAACCCCCAGAAAACAAAGAATATCACAGTAAAATATTGCTAATATTATTAATATTAGAAGATATAAAA